AGAAGAAGAATCATCTGCAAAGGGAAAGCTGCTGTTGGTAAACTTGGAAGGTAAACTATGTTTTAACCACTGTTTCAAATAAACAGGCAGTTAAGATTTACACAGGAGAACATTATCACCTTAATAATAATGAAAGTTATAATCGTGATAATTATAGCCTGGGATAACTTCATTTAGATGATAAAGTTTGACTTCATGTTAGTGGATGAAGGTGATCCACCCCGTTAGCTTTGGGAGGCTAACTCACCAACACACCTCCTACTTTAAGATCTAAATTATTTTCTACAGAGACCCTCAGGAGTAATCTAGGGGAACGTAAAGCCGGGTGGATACCTAGAACAGAAGATACCTGCGCCCCCCCCCCCCTTCAGTTAGCATGATTAGCCTCCGTTAGCTTAGCCGCCACCAGCTTCTGATGTTAGAGCTCTGACGTTACACAGTTAGCACACATGCTAAACGAAGGCTAGCACGTTTCCTTACTGGACAACATCGAACAAGGTTATCGATAGTTTCCGCTCCGCTCACCTTTGAACAAGAAGTCGTACTCGTCGTCTCTGTTCCCCATGTTTTGATACGATCACCTTTCAGAGTTTGTGGTGATGACAGAAAGTAGTTCCCCTGCCCTCGCCAGGTTGCTGTGCCCAGATGACAGGAGACAATGCGCACATAGCGCAGGGAGCAGGAGCGTAGACAGACCTTTTTCAGAGGGGGCGGGGGATAAACCGGGCCACCGACTTCTGCAGGAGTGTCCACAAGTGTTATGAACACACACATGAAAAGCATTAATTAACCCTTTCTATTTCCAGAATGAAGTGGCAACAATTAGATCAGGGATTCTCAGCCAGCCTCCTCACCATCACCAACTCATGAAAAATCAATTCTGATATTATATCTGAAGAGAAATTGAGCTGCTTGGACCACAGACGAGACAAAACATGGGACAGAGCAACGACACGGTTACAGCCAGCCTGTTGTAACCATAAACTGTAAATATGAATGTTTAAAGCCTGAGTGACGTCACCTGTCTGTTCCTGCAGGGGGCGCTGGAGTCCCATCGATGGCGGTCTCCATGCTGGAAATGCTGTCTCAGTCTAACTTTCAGTCAAGCTAACGACAGGCTGAGAGCTGGAGCTGAGGCAGGTTTTAAACCTCCTGACAAACTGTTACACCATGCCCACCTGTCAATCAGGTCAGCTACACACCTTATTGTGAATAACTCTTATCCTTCGTCAAATCAAAACTGATGAGTCATCAAAACATTCACCCCCCCCCGTACAGTGTGTGTCCATCAAGACATGAGCTAATCACACCTATTTGTTTTTTTGAACCAGGCTGTAAACATGTTAATCTCTGCTGTAAAAACAGGCTTTTTAGAATGGGTGTGTATGTGACTTCCTGTGCTTCAAGTCAAACAGCCAATCCTTGTTTAATATTTTGGGGAGGTAAATCAGATGTTTAGCTCTGCCCATAGAGAGAGAAGCTGCTGTTAGAGTTGCGTTACAGCGTCACAGCTCAGGAGAAACTACCGACAAACAATAAAATCTGTTTTCCCACTGTGGCCTCTCAAACTGCTGTTGTAATGTTTATTAACTTTAAATGTAATGTTCTGCACATTTGTGTATCATCGTCAACAAGTGAATAAGAAGATATCCTCTGATTCTATTCTTAATGTGGTATTGGCACATGCTTCTCACACATTCATGTATTTCATGTTTGTTTGTATGGGGACAAGTATGGAGCAACACTACAGCATTTATAGCCTTTAAGCTTCTTTGCAATGCTCGTCTCTTGAGGGGCTGAAACACACACACATGCCCGGACAGGATGCTGTGGACTAATGAAGGGATGTCAGAGTGAGGGGGCTGCACACAGCGAGCGCTCCTGAGCCGGTGGGGGTTTTGCTGCCTGGCTCAAGGGCACCTCTGCAGTGCTCAGGAAATGAACTGGCATCCCTCCAGTTCCAAAACAAGTCCCTACAGACTGAATTACTGCCACATCGAGTGTTAACATTAAAATATCTTACCTGTAACAGCGAGAAAGCACAATAAACTAAAACCTGACGAATGATCATTTAAATGAAATAAAGCTCAAATATGATCAACCTTCATGAATAAGTCACAAACTGCTGTTTTACAGAAGTGGGTCATATGTTTTTAGTATTTTTTTAATAAAGTTGAGTAAACTTTCCTGAACCACAAAAACATTTGTTGCAACTATTCAGCAAATTCGTAGAACTGATATTTGGGAGGGTGCACAAAATGGAAATTCCCCACTTCCCTGGGACCAGGACAAGCCAGCGCTAGGTGCAGGGTTGAATCTGACCTTGGCCCTTTGCTGCACGTCATCCGCCCACTCGCTCTCCCCCCAAAATGTCCTGTCTCAGCTACACAATCTACAGCCTCACATCTGTCCATAGACCTTCGCCCTGAATCAATTTTACTCTGCTGCTTTAGTTTACGTTTACTGTAAAGGGATCACATACAGTGTATGGATGAAACCAGAACAAAGTCCCTATTATGGCCAGCAGAGGGAGCCACCATCCCTGGTCATTAAGGTAAGCATGATGGACTAAGTCTACAGGCAGGGTTCATATCAGAAATGTAGACCCCTTTATCCTCCAACCAGCTGCTTTTCAACGTTCACATTAAATCCACCATTAAACATCCATATTCATTATCCTATATTCCTGTTTTACCTGTATACATTTTTTGAGCTTTTGAGTCAGCATCTCTTTTATTTTGAAAATACTTCTGATTCATTGAGTCCTGGTCACATTTAGAATAGAATAGAAAATAATTATTTTATTGATCCCAAACTGGGAAATTGTGGTGTTACAGCAGCAGGTTATCAAAGCAAATAAAAAATATAAGAATAGATACATAAATAAGCACTTAGAATATAAAAAATAACACTAGGAAGAGATTTATACATGAAGGATTTAACTTAACATTCCTACTGGTTTAGAAAAATACTTGCTGGAGGTAAGAGATGTAAGTTTGCAAAAACAATGATGACAGGGGTAAATGTGTAATAACGATATAGAGGGTTATCCAGAACTGTGCAAATTTGTGGCTGTGTAATCAAAGATATTTATGTTAAAGTGCAGGAGTGTAGATATCAGATTATCAGTTGAAACTATTCACTATAATGATGAGCATTGAGACAATGTCGTTAACTTAAATGTAAGGATAGTGTGTCAATTTTACAAGTAGCATGAGCAGAACAGATTACAGTATGAGAGACAGATATTATCATGAGCTGTTGTACAGAGTTATGGCCGGTAAGAAAGATTTCTTGTATCTGTCCTTGTGACAGCGGAGTTGTATCAGTCTGTTGGAGAAGCTGCTCCGCTGTTTGTCCAGTAGGGTGTGCAGAGGGTGATCAGGATTATCCATAATGGATAACAGTTTGTTAAGAGTCCTCCTCTCTGTCACCACTACAAAAGAGTCCAGCTTGCAGCCTATCACAGCAGGCCTTCTTAATGAGTTTGTCCAGTCTCTTGATGTCACCAGCTCCAATGCTGCTCCCCCAGCAGACCACAGCAGAGAACAGTGCACTGGCCACAACAGACTGAGAGTAGATCTCCAACATCTTGCTGCACACGTTGAAGGATCTCAGCTTCCTCAGAAAGTAGAGTCAGCTCATCCCCTTCTTGTACACAGCCTGATTGTTGGCCTTCCAGTTCAGTTTGTTGTCTATGTTGACACCAGGATACACAGCGGTAGTGGCTCTGTCCTCTTCCTTCTGAAGTCAATCACCATCTCCCTGGTCTTATCCAAATTCAGAAGCAAGTGATTGATTCCTGTCCACTCTTGCCCATCACTTATACACCCCACCACCGCAGAGTCATCAGAAAACTTCTGCAAATGGCATGACCTGGAGTCGTACTGAAAGTCAGAGGTGTACAAGGTGAAAAGGAAAGGAGACAGCACAGTCGCCTGTGGAGCTCCTGTACTGCTCTCCACCATTCTAGACTGAACACTGCCAAGTCGGACAAATTTTCCAGACCTTTCACTGATCTCAATCTCATGTGAATGGACTTCAACTTGATTATTTCTTTTCTACTCTTCATTCACACTGATGGTAGAGGCTGCTGTGTAAAGAGTCCATCAGTATTAACTCATCCATTCATTCACATTCACACACTGATGGTAGAGGCTGCTGTGTAAAGAGTCCATCAGTATTAACTCATCCATTCATACACATTAATATGCCTCTGATGAAGCAGCAGCAGCAGCAACTTGGGGTTAAGTGTCTTGCCCAAGGATCAAACCCCTGACCTTCTTGTTGAGAGACGACGACTCTACCACTGAGCCAAAGTCACATATGTGAAAGGAGGGTTGATTCCTATAGCAACGGTGGGATATCCAGACATCAGTCAGATGTGATAGCATTGATTTAGCCCGCAGACTTCTTCTGCCTAACTGGAAATCACCAATCGACCCCTCCATCGCTGGATTGACGAGGTTCTGTCAGATCTTAAACTGGATTATAATCAGAAACTCGGTTCAGAGATTATTGACAAGATTTAAAAAAAACTTCCTAGACTATTATGCAAACAAATGAGATGACAAATATTTCAATTAAATATTAAATCTAAATGTTATGATTCTAAATATTTTAAATCTTAGCTCAGTATTTGGATTGACAGCAAATATACCGGATCAAAGTTAAATATTTACAGTCATGACGTTTATTTTTTACATTATAAAAATAGGCTATGTCATGAACTTAATGGAAGCGTTATTTGGGGTTAGGGTTATTTAACAAAGCTGTTCAGTGTTTCCAGGTTTCTCTTATTTATTACACATACACGCGTTGTTCATAAGAAACCACACAGACTGGTACATCCGGGTGGGAGTTTCTGTGACCCCCCTCAGGCAGGCAAGTAATTTCCATTCTTGAGAAAAGACGTGACTAAGCAGCGAAAGAAGAGCCACCTATAATATATTTTTAAATGTCCCCACCCACTCCGCGTGTTCACCAGTCAGCACAGAGAACACTGATGACCCTAAACGCAGCGACAGGTTGTCTGTCTCTCCACTTTCACAGACAGGTGAGCACGATCCCTGCTGCTGTGTTCATGCAGACAGAAATCTATATTATTACATTAGTGAAGTCAGTCTGTGTTTAGTTCACTGATGGCGAAGCGAACAGGACGACCGAGGAGCCAGCTGCCGACCTGCTACTATGAGGGCTACCTGGAGAAGAAGTCGTTCAAAGACAAGGTTTGTTTGTTTGTTTTTGTTTGTTTGTTTGTTGGTGTGATTTTCTTCAGTGCAGGAGGTTAAATGGACAACAGAAAGCGACTTATTTCACAGAAATGCAAAGTAGCTTTGGTCAGTAAGTCCTTAAATATTTCATATTTTGCATGACTCAAAGTCCAAAGATTCCCCTACTTGGGCTGTTTACACATACATCTATTTGATTCTTTTTTTCAAATTCACCATTATTCGATTAGTCATGGCTCTGTCATCCCGATACAACAATGTGAAACTCAACCTGCAGGTTTCTAGTTTTTTTTTAACACTGAAAAACCTGTAAAGTTAAATATCACATAAGCTAAAAAATGATTCAGTCTAGATGAGTGAATTTAAAGAACTCTTCTTGGGGCGGCAGCAGCTCTCAGTCTGTATAGGGACTTGGGTTGGAAACTGCAGGGTCACTGGCTCAAGTCCCAGTACGGACCCTGCCTGTAAATTGCTCTGGTAGCTGGAGGGATGCCAGATCACTTCCTGAGTACTGCTGAGGTGCTTTTGAGCAAGGCACTGAAGCCCCCCACCAGCTCAGGACCCCCTTCTCTCTGACATCCCTGCATTAGTCCACAGGATCCTGTTTGTGCATGTGTGTGAAGCATGTTCAAGAACAGAGTGTTATTCATGTGTATCTTCTCATAACCGATGAATTGACTCATAGTTTCAGGTGTTATTGTCAGGTCAATCTCTGTCTCTCTCCAGAGAAGATGAGGGAGGTAAGGACAGGCTTAAATAATTAAAGATAAGATAAGATATACTTTATTGTCCGCAGAGGGAAATGTGTCTCGGACTCTGTCCTGCAATGAGAATGAAAGATAAATAAATAGAGATCGCACATAAACACCGTCCTGCAGAGGTGACATGTTGCACGGCCCCGCTGCACCTCTTCCTACTTTAACCTCTTACTCAGAATATTCAAGGACATCCAGCTGCTCACATGAATGTTTGTAGCGGTGCAGCCCGGTCTTCTCCCACAGAGGGTCAAAGCTGAAACTCAGGGTGAAGAATGTGTGTCAGGGTCAGACACTGTGTTCTCTATCTGTCTAACAACACGCTGATCATGGAGAGATTGTTTTTCAACAGCAGTGATCTTCATAGTGATCTGCACAGGGCGAGTTCTCTGTGAGTTCAGCTGAGCAGACGAGTGACCCCCCCCCCCCCCAGCTACTATCTCCTATCTGATGATGCTTTCAAAAACAGCTGTGTAAAACATGGTATGAAAAGTGGAGTCTCAACAATAAAGTTATTGAAATATAAAAACATGCAGTAAGCAGTAACATGTCGAAGATGTTCTCGACCCTCCTGATGGCTTTAAAGTGTTTTACATATCAGAGTTATGAAGCAGCTGAATGATCGGATCAGTCTCCTCTGTGATTGGCTCTTTGAAGGACAGACTGTAGCATGTGTGTTTCATGTGACGGTGCTGCAGTTTGAGGACTTACTGAATGAATGACCTCTTTGTCAGTCATCAGCTTCACTCTTGATGCATGGAGGAGGCTTTATGTGAGAGAGACGGGCGGAGCCGCTTGTCGTACAGTTTCTTTCAACATGTGGACTTTGACACTTTTAACAACACTGTCTCTCAAACCAGTTCGACTGCTCGCCTGCTTGTTGGCCCGTAAAGATAAAGAATAGTGTCAGACAGTGGTGTTGAACCAGAGACCTGAACAGGCGAGGCTGGCCTGTCGAGCTCTAACAGATAACAGAGCAGGTTACGTGACGATATCACACTGATCACTGAAGGCTGTTCCAGGAAAATCATCTGCGGTTTATCTGGGACCAATCAGACGCTCCATCAAATGTTGACTCATCGAATCTGAAGCTAATTGCTCTTATTTAAAAGTGATTGAAAGGTTGAAGACACAGATTGGGCTTTCACACTTGCAGAACACTCGTGTGCACAAGGTTACCCCCTTTCTGCACGCCCGTATGTCATCACTCCATATTCACTTGAGCATTAACAATGCACCTATCACTGACCTCTGACCTTTGTCCATCCTGTCAATCAGACTACACCTCAATGAAGCATCACAGCTGAGACTGCACCCCTCACCTCGGTTCTCTGGACTGCTTTTAAATCTTTTTAGCCTCTGTGTGCGTCCATGAGGCTTAGCATCTCAAAGAAAGAGAGAGAGTGTGTCATTCCATGTTCTTATCGGACAACCTGTGGCGTCTGCCAAACCCACGTAACCACATTATTTGAATTCTATCCCCCTCCCCCGCCTGGAACGAATAAAGTTTTTGGAATTTTAATATATATATTTGAAAATATAAGGCTAAAATGGAGTGAAACCATCCCCTCTTTCACAACTCCTGAAAACCTCCTGATATTTGCAGGAGGAAATATCAGCTGGGAGGAGCTGTGAGCAGCGGGGCGAGGAGGAATCCCAGAGCAGTCCTCCGGATATGATCGAGATATCCTCAGGAGTGTGTGTGTGAAAAACAGCTTTATGGATGCTTTGTCCTAAAAAAAAAAAAATAGTGACCACAAACTCTGAATCACTCACATCTCACACTCCAACACAGAATAATGAGTCAGTCATGTAGACCTGGTTTCCTTCCAGTTGACCCACTTCTTCTTGCACACACTCAAACGTTGTTGAGATCACAGACTGGTTTGTGTGACAGCTGCAAACATGTGAGTCATCGGCTCGTCAGGAGAATGTCACCTGTGCACTCTGCAGCTGCTCGCTTTGTTTCCTTGTTGTATAACAAACATTTTGTAAATCCTTTTCCCCCTGTTCACTGTGTGTGTGTGTGTGTGTGTGTGTGTGTGTGTGTGTAGTGACCACAAACTCTGAATCACTCACATCTCACACTCCAACACAGAATAATGAGTCAGTCATGTAGACCTGGTTTCCTTCCAGTTGACCCACTTCTTCTTGCACACACTCAAACGTTGTTGAGATCACAGACTGGTTTGTGTGACAGCTGCAAACATGTGAGTCATCGGCTCGTCAGGAGAATGTCACCTGTGCACTCTGCAGCTGCTCGCTTTGTTTCCTTGTTGTATAACAAACATTTTTGTAAATCCTTTTCCCCCTGTTCACTGTGTGTGTGTGTGTGTGTGTGTGTGTGTGTGTGTGTGTGTGTGTGTGTGTGTGTGTTGTGTGTGTGTGTGTGTTGTGGTGGTGTGTGTGTGTGTGTGGTTGTGTGGTGTGGTGTGTGTGTGTGTGTGTGTGTGTGTGTGTGTGTGTGTGTGTGTGTGTAGACATCTGGGAAACTGTGGACCTGTTTGTGCGGAAACTCGCTGTTCTTCTTCAACGACAAGAGAGACACTGATGTAAGTCAACATATCGAGTCGTTACACCAAACTACCTCTCCCCTCTGCTGTCTTTGTGTTTATGTGTTTAAACACTTAACATCAGTTTCTTTATCTGATATTTAGACGTGTTTTAATTTTCCGGTCATAACCTTAGACATATTTTTTACATTAAGAGTTATCAGAGCCAGGGAAATCTGTAATTTCAGAGCTGTAGCATTTCGTGTCAGCCACGACATGTTGATCGTTGCCGTGGAAACACCAGATGTTACACACCGCTGCATAAGGAAGCGTGAGCTGCTCCTGAAAGCTGCCATACTGCTGTGATAAAGACGTAATGTAGATTATACTCTGATACATTAGCTCGTCTGTAAACATATTCTCTTCCTCAGGTCGTCTTGACTAAGTTCAACTTGGAGGTCGTTTTCATATGGGGGGAGGGGAACTCCCATGATTTCCCGCCAGCCTCAACATCACCTTTTGTTATTGTTTTGATTGAGAGCCCCTGGTGGTGGAATCTACATACTGTAGCTTTAATCTACATGCAATGTGAAGCTACGCGCTAACATTAGCATGCTAACGGCGGCAGTTGCTCAGTCTGTAGGGACTTGGGTTGGGAATTGGAGGGTCGCTGGTTCAAGTCCCGGCATGGACCAAGTCCGGAAATTGGCCTGGTGGCAGGGGAGGTGCAATACAAAGAACAGGAAGTAGAAAAGATGGTTTCACACGTTTTCTCTGTCAACTGGTTGTTTTATCGTCTGTTTTTTTCTGTGATCTAGTTCTTGGAAGTTCCTCTACCCTTTTGTAATGTGTGTGTGTGTGTGTGTGTGTGTGTGTGTGTGTGTGTGTGTGTGTGTGTGTGTGTGTGTGTGTTGTGTGTGTGTGTGTGTGTGTGTGTGTGTGTGTGTGTGGTGTGTGTGTGTGTGTGTGTGTGTGTGTGTGTGTGTGTGTGTGTGTGTGTGGTGTGTGTGTGTGTGTGTGTGTGTGTGTGTGAGATTAGTATGTAGAGAAATTGGATCTCAGTGGATTCATGTCGATAACAGACGACTGCACCCAGGATCGAAATTTAGATGCAGCTCGAATCAACCTCCAGATGAAGGATGGAAATATCAAATTCACTGTGAGAATACTAGAGACACTCATAAATATAAACCGTTCTTTTTTTTAGATTTATTGAATTTCCCCTCTGGGAATAATGAAGTATTTCTGATTCTGATTCTCTCCTCCTTTTTCTCTACAGGCCCCAAATGCAGAAGCTCGAGAGCTGTGGAAGGGATTTATTCACTCTGTGGCCGAGGTATGTGCTGTTTGAAGATAAGGTGTTATTAATTCATGAACATTTAAATGTCCAATGTTTCTAATAAGCTCCACGAGCAGAAACGTGCTCAAACTAGGATCAATATTGGAGATGCTTTTGAAAAATGGAGAGAGGTTAGAACACAGAAAGGTTTACAGACCCATGCAGAGCTGGATAAACACTGAAGCTTCAGAGTCCACCACATGGTGACCTGTGTGAGCATTGAATACAGAGAGGAGGGGGGGGAGACAGCTCTCTACAATGTTTAGAATTTAGACTGCAGTACCCATTTTAAACACTAGTGGTCAGACTTACATGCTGCTCCTTTAACAGAAGTGATATTCTGATAGAAATAGTTACTCATTGCCCTCTGCACTGATGGTTTAAAACAGAAACTGTGTCTCCCTACAGCTGTCGCTACCTACTTCCCTAAACCTGCTTCCGGGCCAGCTGCACATGCTAAGAGAGGCAGTGGAACAGGAAAAAGAAAGAAGAAAATCTGTACCTCCACCTGTCACCGACTCCAGCCCTTACGTCAGCCTCAAAGCAAACAAGCCAGCGTGAGTTTCAATAAACACCGACAGACTGTTGATTTCTACTGTGCCTGATGCATGCTTCCCGAGTACTGCTGAGGTGCCCTCGAGCAAGGCACAGGCACCTTTACAGCCCTGGCACTTGTTGTGTAGCAGCTCTAATGCACGGCCACTGGTCCCGCATGTGTGAGAAGCACGTCTCTCTGTAACAGATTTTAAACCTGAATTTCCCCTCAGGGACTTAAAAAAGTATATGAAATATAAAAAATACCATCGTTTTGAAATAAACTGCTTGGGCTTTGGGTTTCAGTATTTGAATGTTGGGTCTCCTCCTGTGGGTTCTGCTGTCCCGCAGCTGTTACCAGGATGTGTCCCGTATGGAGGCAGAGCTGCTGCTGGACAGAGAGGCAGCGCGAGGAAACCTGCTGCTGAGGCCCGGGGGGGGGAACGGAAACTCCTTCGCTGTCACCACCAGACAAGACTTAGACGGGTACACACACACACACTCACGCTGTAGCACCCAGGGGATGGGTAAAAAGATAATAAAATAGCAGACACAAGAACAGAGATCATGAAGTGTTTTTCATGTCATTTTGGAGGGAATGAGGATTGGGAGATTATTTAAAACAAGCTGTTGTCCCATCCGGGGTCTCTGGCTGCATCCTATCAGTTGAAGGCTTTTCCACTGTCCTGTGGGCGAACAGAGAGAGAGTGAGAGAGAGTGTGAGTGATGAGCCTTTTTGGTCAGCTGCTTGGAGGTTATCAGCGTGAACCCTTCTACATCCTGTTTGAGCCTCTGTTCCCCTCACTGTGCTGCTCGGTGGGGGAGTAAACTGGTGAGACCAAAGCTGTGTGTCCCAGAGGCTGCAGCACCTGAAACTGGGAGTACCACTCCCTCTATCTCTTATCACCTCCACCGACTTGATGATTCTGTCAGGTGCTCCTCGTGGAGTCACAGTTTCTGAGGTTGGGAACTCGTTCTTCCGACTTCAGTGTGTTCACAGCTTTCTGTTCAGAAATTGAGTTAAATGTTGATGTGCATTACGAGAATGAATCAAAAGTATCTTCACTTACAAAGACCACACCAAGAAAGATATTGACTTTGAAGTCAATATATCCAAGAGCGGGGTTGGACAGTCGGAGGACTGGGGTGGATAGATGAAGGGGATGAACCTTAAAGGTAACATATCCTCCTCCTCCTCTTCAGTGTAAATAAGTCTCAGAGCTCTTCAAAACATGTGTGTGAAGTTTCTTGTTCTAAATCCACTCTGATCCTGTATTTGATCATGTCTATAAACCCCTCTATTTCAGCCCTGCTCAGAACAGGCTGTTTCTGTGTCTGTACCTTTAAATATGTAAATGAGCTGTGTCTGACCACGCCCCCTCTCTGGAAGGGCTTGGGTGTCTCAGTCTTTCTCGCTCCATGTCCTATTGTTTACAGTGAGAAGGCAGACTCAGAGGGCAGAACAAACACCTAGCTGTGGGAGTGTCACCTACCTGGGGGAGGGGTTACTGCCCTTTGTGATGTCATGAAGGGAAAATCTCCAAACGGCCTGTTTGAGCACACATTTTCTGAAAAGTGGAGCAGGCAGAAGATGGAGAGAATGGACTTTTCTCATTATTAGACAGACAGACTAGAGACACATGTTAAAGTTAGAGAAACATGGAGAAGAGGATTTTGGAGAATATGTGAATTTAAAGGGTTGTGAGATGGGGGGGTAAGGGTAGAGGGATGAATGGATTAAGGTAGTGGTCCGGAGGTGTTTGGAGAAGGACGGTGGCCTGGTTTCTGTCGATGTAGGGAGGACATGAGGAAACCAGAGGGGTCGAGACTCTTGGTGGTTCCTGTGTTCAGACAAAGAGAGAAACAGCTCGAGCAGTTTGTACATTTTCCAACTTGTGAAACACATTTTTCCGACGTGTCCGACACCACATGAATAAATAAGCTTGGGGATCTTCCCCCTGTGCTGGATTGGATGGACTGTTTCCCCTGGTTACCACAACTCTCCAACATTGTACTACTACTGCTGCTACTCTGTCAGCAAATAATCAGTTCAAAGAAAGAGTTTGTATTAATTAGCGTGTTCGTTAGTCCCGTCTGTGTTTTGATCATTGCTCTCTCTCTTTTGTTTTCAGCGCTGTATTCAGACACTACCGCGTGACCTGTCAACATGAAGGAGGCTTTTCCATCGATGTGGACAATCCTGTGAGTATCATAAAATCAGGTCTACCACGAGTCTCTCAGATAGCCAGAACCAGATGAGTTCTTTAGATTAAACGCAGGTCATGACTTCCTGCTACAGATGAGTCTGATTACCTTTAAAAAATACTTACCAGTAATTAAATGTCCTGTGACTTTTATCCCGTCACTATTCTTCTGCACTTCTTTTGAAGTCTTGAATACTTAGGAAGACTTTAATTTTAGTACCGGTGTCATGACTCACCTCGCGTCAGAGTATTTAATAGCCCTAAATAATTGATGCCCGCCCACAGTGAACAAAAACATTAAACATGAAGCTTCACATTTGAGTTATTGGACCAGAGTAATGACTAATCACACTTAGTAAGTGTCCATGAAACATGATTTTTATTGTGTTTAATGTTCAGTCGTAAAACAACCTGTTGTATTTCTGCACATATTAAACAGACCTGTTCTCCGTCTAGGTTCCCTGTGGATCCCTTCATGATGTGATCGACTACTTAGTGGGAAAAACCAATGGAGTGTTGATACCTCTCACCTTCGAGGGAACATACGAGAGGCAAATCTGTAAGACATTTTTATGATAAAGGTCCAATCAGTGAGATGTGTAGAGAGTGAAATGATAAAGGTACCTTACTATCTGATCATTAAGGAAACATGCTATGTTGAAGTGTTGGCTTCTCTGACAACAATGCAGCAGCCATTATGTCCTCCTTCTAACTTTAGATTCTGCTCCTGAATGCTCTGGATTTGTTTGGACCAGAGAAGGTAGGCGCTTTTAAGGCAGAGCAGTTATCAGGTCAACGGGTGTTGCAGCGATGGAAGCAGTCAAGAGAAGTGGTTCAGATAGAAGTGATTGTACCCGACCTAAAAAGCCTCTGCATGTTTCTAATAAGCTCCACGAGCAGAAACGTGCTCAAACTAGGATCAATATTGGAGATGCTTTTGAAAAATGGAGAGAGGTTAGAACACAGAAAGGTTTATAGACCCATGCAGAGCTGGATAAACACTGAAGCTTCAGTGTCCACCACATGGCAACCTGTACAATGTTTAGAATTTAGACTGCAGTACCCATTTAAAACACTAGGAGTTAAATATTGCTCCTTTCATTTCCCTGTCATACCAATGATTTTTCTTCATTTTCTTTACTTTACAGCTTTTATTTGTTCTGATAGCGAGAATGGAGAGAAGAGCGTTCAGCAGGCTCCGTCAAACCTTGAACCACCAAGCTTGCCCCCCAAACCAGGTACTGTATCCCTCCATATCAAACACATACACATGAACACACACACATCCAGCGGCTAAATTAATAAGAGTGTATGACAAACCTGTTTTCTGTGGGACTTTGACACATTCCTCGACTGCGACTGCATGGCTTCAACTTGGACTTTTTCCAAATCACTGTGAATTGAAAATGAACCCGATAGCTCAGATGTTGTGTAACCTTCTCGGTTATATAATAAAGGAACCACATGCACTGTCTTGACAAATGAAACTCGTATAAAGTGATGGATTAGATCTGAAATGTATTTGTGAGGCAGCTAACCCGTCTCCATGTTGAAATAATAATAATTAATATATTATTACTCCTGTCAAACTTGTGTCTTTGTTCAGCTGGTGTCCAGGGGTGGCATGGGCCCCACTTCTGAAATCTGATTGGCCTCCCCAGGTGCCACCCCAAAATCACAGACTATGACTGGCTATTTAATGTATCAGAGGCAGGACTTAAGTTTAAATCAACTATTCTGGATGTAACAACCAGCTGCTTAGTTCTCTCAGCTGTCAGTAAACACTGAGCACATCTATTTGATAAGACAGGGTCTTAGGAAAGGAATGAGAAAACTCTAGCACACTGCAGAACTTATGCTAACATTAGCATGCTAACACAACAACGCAGGCCACAGGTGATTTCAGCTCGAGCCACAGACAATTTAATCTGCCGCTTGTGCTTAATGGTGCTTTCTGTAAATATGGTGCGTCCCAACTTACAACTCCTTTGTGTGAACGCCAGTGGAGGGGGGTTGGAGGTGTGTAGATAGAGGAGAGCGGAGGCTTCACTATTGTGATTTCATGCTTGTGCTCAAGGGCGACATTTACTGGATCAAAAAGTCGCACACTCTTCCTTTAAAGGGGACATATAATGACAAATCCACTTGTACAGTGTTTCTGAACATATATTTGGGTAACCTGAGTGTCTACTGACCCATAAAATGTGACATAAACCCATCCAGTCCTTTGTTTGTGGTCAGAAAAATGCTCTATTTCTAATGTGCTCTCCTTGTGATGTCAAAGTGGGATTCTGGTAAAAAAAAATCCCCTCCCCTCCCCTGGTATCTCCACCCATGGACTCGACCCCCAGCCTAGAACAAAACTTTAGTGCAGGTCGGCCATTTTTATTCTCTCTACAGAGGAGTGTTGTCTACGGGGTAAACTCAGGGGGGGGTCATTGCATTTAAAGAGACACACACTACAAAACGGAGCGTTCTGAGAGAGCTGGTTTATACAGGGTCACAAACCTCCTCTGGTGCTTGATTCATGTTATATTTTGACCACAGCACAGATGTTTCATTTAGACCATAGGAGACTGTTTGAAAAGGTAGAGAAGGGGGATGATATGTCCTCTTTAAATTTAAATTATGTATGTGTACTAATGGGACAGTTTAATGCCAAAGCCTACTCAAAGTATGATCTCAGTGACCTGAATACACTCAGCACACCAGTGCCATGTTACACAGTCATAAACAGGTGACGTGTTTCTTTATGTGGTTGAAGCGGCCTGTCATGTACTGGACGTGGACTCTGTTCCTCTAACAGTCTGTTAACAGCACTTTGTTGAGTCTGAACCAGGGGCGGTGATTTTACCAACAAGCCTTTACTTAGTTAACAACACAGACATGACTACAAATATCAGCGTTAGGCCGACATGTTTGTCCTGTTAATGTTCATTTTTAATTTGTTCATATTTTAGTTCATATTTCAGTAATGTCAGCATTCTTCATAATTACATGTTTTACTGACTGAACCATGTTTTAATTATGAGATGATTTATTTAGTTTCTAGAATAGCGACTCCTGAGGCAGCACCAGCAGTGGTTGAAGAGGAGGATTTATATCTGAATGTCCAGCGTAAGTATTTGCCCACATCTACCCGTCAATCATAGCTGCTGTTTTCTCTCCTGGCGTTCAAACACAAACCAGTGTGACTTCATTTTTTTCCGCCGCTATCTCTGACTTAAGTCTGTGTTGAAACAGTGGAGGAGAAGGAAAGAGAGACGGTGGATTCCACAGAAGTTCCACCGCCACGTAAGTTCTTTCCGTCAATCGGAAACACTCACAGTGAGAATGTGTTCCTCCACTTACCATTTATCTTTATATAACATGCAATGTTTGTTTTTTTTGGTACATTGTTATGTCTGCTCAATGCTGCTCCATGTCTGTCCTGCATGATATACATTTTTTATATTAACCAAATGCTGCTTTATGTGTATCCTGCATGGTTTATGTATTTTCTCCTGTGGCTGCTTACCTGTCTGCTTAATTACTGTCATGATATTTCTTTTTGTAGCTTTTAGCGATGTTTGAATTTGGTTTTTTTAGGGAGCCTTTTGTAAAATCTGGCCAGGGACAACAGATGAAAATTTGCCTTTTGGCTAACTCTGGCATATTTACAGAAATGTTTATTAATATGCAATGTCCCTGTAAAATCAAAAATAAATAGTTTTTTTGGTCTTCCTAAAGCTCCAAAGAGAGCAGTAATGCCTCCCGTGTCTGCTGCTTGCAAATGGCTCTCTTCCACATCGGCTCCCTCCTCCAGCAGAGATCAGAAGATGAGACTCCTCACAGAGGCTTCAGGACAGAGTAAGTCCACTCTCCTTTAGACGGCCCTAACTCTTCTGAATATTTCATATTTTACAGTCTCCATTCTTAAGATTTTCCTCTAATGACCTGCACTCTCCGATGTGCTCTAGTTCCCTTGGCAACGATCTCGGAGCTGAAACTGAAGCTGGAACAGAAGGCCATGTGTCTAGAGTGACACCTCCTGGTGGGAACCTCTCAGAGCATCCACCACCTCCAGTACGAGTCTTCCCCTGCAAGATGAAGCAACACGAGAGAGCAGAGAGGATCAGTCCCCCCCCCCCCTCCTCCTCGTCAGCTGGCTGCGAAGATGAACACCTTATTGATCCCCCCTCTCAGGCTCTCATTAGCAGACGAATGGACTGTAACTCTGTCGCCTTGTTTGTCTTGTACATTTTGCACATTAACCTCCTGTCGATTCTTCCTCCAATCACAGCGTGTCGGTGAAGCGCTGATGTGCTTTAGTGTTGATTAATGCGGCGCCTTATATTGTTTAAAACTGTTCAGCCTCACAGGCGTGTAAATATGTACGTTTTTTGTTGCATACTGTGACTAAATTTATTGTATGTATATTTTTTTATTGAAAAAACAACAAATCAGATTGATCAAGTGAATACCGTAAAACTTCAAATAGAAGTCCACCCCAATTTAAGGCCAAGCAATCCCAGCTCTCGGTTAGAGACCTGTCTGCGTTTAGAGTCGAAACAGTTTGTAAATCACCAATAAGGAGAAAAAGCAGCAAGAAACAAAAGAGGAACTACAACATCTGTCCAAGACAGACAGACTGACGCTCACATGCAGGACATGAAGCAGGTTTAAAGTCTGTTCTCAAAGCAAGATGAAATTAGTGATTATATAAGTTGTTAATCGATATTCTAATTTTGTACACAGTTTAATTAACTTTCTGATGTTCATTTTTAATTAGTCTTTCTCGTCTGTGCTGTGCACCAGCTTTGTTTGAAAATAATCAAAGGCACGTCCAATCAGTAACCTCCTCCAGTGTTGAAAAATGAAGTAGATGCTGAAGTGCAATATCCTGCAGTTCCTGGAGTGTCCACTAGAGGCTGGCTGCAGAAGTACAGGAAGTCACATACACACCCATTCTAAAAAGCCTGTTTTTACAGCAGAGATTAACATGTTTACAGCCTGGTTCAAAAAAACAAATAGGTGTGATTAGCTCATGTCTCGATGGACACACTGTATGGGGGGGGGTGAATGTTTTGATGACTCATCAGTTTTGATTTGCTGAAGGATAAGAGTTATTCACAATAAGGCGTGTAGCTGACCTGATTGACAGGTGGGCGTGGTGTAACAGTTTGTCAGGAGGTTTAAAACCTGCCTCAGCTCCAGATCTCAGCCTGTCGTTAGGTTGACTGAAAGTTAGACTGAGACAGCATTTCCAGCATGGAGACCACCATCAATGGGACTCCAGCGCCCCCTGCAGGAACAGACAGGGGACATTACTCAGGCTTCTTCCAGTCATATTTACAGTCTGTGGGCCCGTCTCGTGATGACACCTGTCTCATATTAAGGTAGGGTCATTTCATAGACTGAATAAAAGCCTGGGCTATTTATTGAAGTTTTGCGGTATGCAGCATCCAGTACGAGGTGTGCAAAGGTTAGAAATCAGAGTTTTTCTCCTGCCTCTTTTTATACAAGATTTTTTTTTTTCCTTTTTCATGTCTTTATTTTTGTGTAAGCAGCAATCAAACACCCAAGTGATCTTACTTCTTTATTACCTCAATGACTGATACACTATAGTGGAAAACTATTTACAATAAACTGTGACTTGATGTGAAATAAAGTGAACTCAATTGTCCGCTCTTTGAAGCATCGCAGGCTACAGACACTCACACGTGGAGGAACATGGCGTAGCAAGACTGTAAACAACGGTAACATACTGTATGACACAGAGGTCGGGCGGTGAACCAAGGACAACATAACATCAGTTTCCAGAGTCCCAAAAACCTGGAACCCCCTCATATTACAATTTGTTAGCTGAGGCTTCTAGCTGTGTGTTATACTGGACAATAGACGGTCCACTACTAATACTGGGACTCCTGTTCATCAAATAAAGACGTGTGATTAGGTATAGACACATACATACTTTACAGACAAGCATTAGGGTGCAATCAGGTGAATATAATGTTATACAGTACAGTCCAAACTTCTGAAGCAATATCGGAACTCTTGATGACTCCTCTACACAGAGAAACTGAAGAAGACTGTACTTAACTGTCCGTCAGATTAAAGTCCACAGCTGATTGTAATTTAAAGGTGACATATCCTCCTCCTCTTCAACCAGTTTAACTAAGTCTCAGAGCTCCTCAAAACATGTGTGTGAAGTTTCTTGTTCTAAATCCACTCTGATCCTGTATTTGATCATGCCTATAAACCCCTCTATTTCAGCCCTGCTCAGAACAGGCTGTTTCTGTGTCTGTACCTTTAAATATGTAAATGAGCTGTGTCTGACCACACCCCCTCTCTGGAAGGACTTGGGTGTACTCTGTCTTTCTTTCTCCATGTCCTATTGTTTACGGTGAGAAGGCAGACTCAGAGGGCAGAACAAACACCTAGCTGTGGGAGTGTCACCCACCCGGGGTCGAGGGGCTACTGCCCTTTGTGATGTCATGAAGGGAAAATCTCCAAACGGCCTGTTTGAGCACACATTTTCAGAAAATTGGAGCAGGCAGAAGACAGAGAGGATGGACTTTTCTCATCATTGGGGGGTTTGTAGACGGACTAGAGACACATGTCAGAGTTAGAGGAACATGGGGAAGTGGATTTTGAATATGTGACCTTTAAATCAGAACCTCAGCAGGAGGTTAAAGAACCCAGTTAGAACCTGACTACAGAAAGTCAAACACACTGTTTGTTGTGCATGCCAAGAGACTAAAACAACATCCTCAACATGTTTCTTATGACTCATTAGTTGCTGGCGAGGTCGAGTTGAATAAATCCTGATTGAGTAAAGAACTACAGTAGCATTGTCTAGTAGCACGTTGTTTAGGTTACACGGGTTGGTTGATGAACTGTATGCGATTATTAAATCTAAGCATTGTTATCAAGTTAAGTTGACACTTGCACAATACATGTTTATTGTATAGGGAGTGGGAGCGTCTTGTCCTGTCAGCGTGGAGCATGAGGAGGAAGGCACAGGGAGAGAGCTCACAGGACAGGCCTTGACCCCGTGCCTGCAGCTAGCTGCTTTGACAGTACGGCTGAAAGTTTTGGTGATGGACAGGAAGGAGGGAAGGGCAGCGGCCAGCGCTAAATCATCGCTCTAGCAGCAGCGGGACAGTGCTGAATGAATCTGAAGAGAGAAACTAACATGACTAAAGCTAAAGTGTCCCAAAGCAAATCACAACAGCCAGAGGCACACTTCAGTAGAAATCTGACTCAGTCAAGCCCAAAACCATTGATGTTGTCATCGCAACACAGACGCGGCATGTGGACCGGGCTAAACCATCAGCCTGCAGTGACGTAACTCTTCCATGATATGGCTTTGGCTGAAGCGGGGGTGATGTCGTCTGCAGTGGTGACTGTAGTGGAGCACAGCTGGAGGGTCATCCAGCTGTGCTCGGTGCACGGGTCTAGGTGAGGCTGGCGTTGGAGCTGCTGGTGTTGCTGTTCTTCCTCTGACCGCTCTGCACCACGCTGGGGACCTGCAGGCCAGTCACCACTGAGAAACTGCCGTTCCACACCTGCAGGGGGAGTGACAGGCAGGTGAAAAAGAGAGAGGGACAGGAAAGTTACAGAACAATCGAGTGAATCATCTTAAAGAGTCTTACCATGAACGCTGGTATGAGTGGCTGCTGGAACTTGGTTTTGAACGTGTGCATGAGCTGTTTGGTTTTGGCGTTGTAGAAAGACAGAACACCTGGAGAGACAACACATGATGCACATCAACTTTGTTTAGATAAATGAATACAAGTTGTGATAGCTCACATAAAGCTGAAAATAGGGATTGTTTTTAATTTCCTCTTTATGATTGAAACAATTTACTATATTCAAACCGCTCATAAGATTTTGTACTTGGACCAGAGAAGGCAGGCAGTTTTAAGGCGACCCCCCCACACGGCCGTTTTGGACGCCCCTCGGTTTGTCAGATATGAGAGCAGTTATCAGGTCAACAGGTGTTGCAGCGATGGAAGCGGGCAAGAGAAGTGGTTCAGATAGAAGTGATTGTACCCGACCTAAAAAGCCTCTGCATGTTTCTAATAAGCTCCACGAGCAGAAACGTGCTCAAACTAGGATCAATATTGGAGATGCTTTTGAAAAATGGAGAGAGGTTAGAACACAGAAAGGTTTACAGACCCATGCAGAGCTGGATAAACACTGAAGCTTCAGAGTCCACCACATGGTGACCTGTGTGAGCATCTACTCTAGAGAGGAGGAGGGGGAGAGACAGCTCTCTATAATGTTTAGAATTCAGACTGCAGTACTCATTTTAAACACTAGGTGACAAATTACATAATGCTCTTTTTTAAGAACAGTTCTTGTTGTTTCATCGAGTTATTATTTGCAGATTAGTTTTAAAATTAGCTGAAAAAACTTACACTGTTTATTTTGTAGAAAAGAAAATTTCAACATTTATCCGTCGTTCTGTCTGAGAAGATCAAACATCGTCTCGTGTGTTATCGGCAGGTCGTACCTTCGTCATAGTTGACGTAGACTCCTATACTGTTGGGGATGGGACAGTCCAGTGTGCGAGCCTTGTTGTTGTGCTTAGCGGTGAGGCTCTGCTGCAGCCAGTTGTTCAGATGGATGCACCAGGAGGCTCCGCTCTTCCCCAGCTGGTCGAATCGTCCGAGGTTTCTCAGGGCGACGCCCACCGCGAAGGCTTTGCTCTCCTTGTCGAAGCGCACCTCCCAGTACTGCTGGCCCGCGTCAATCACCGTGTCAGCTGTCATGACACACAAACACACGTAATGATGAGTTCACAAAGTCAGTGTGCTTCAGTTACATAACATTTAATCTGATCGGTTTGTGTTGGTGGTTTCCCAAGAGAATCTCTCTCTCTCTCTCTCTCTCTCTCTCTCTCTCTCTCTCTCTCTCCCCCTCTCCCTCCCTCTCTCGCCCACTCTCTCTCTCTCAATCTGTAAATCTCACTTACTAACCACATATCTTCCTGGGAGCTCGCTTCATTTGTTATGAATTGGCGCTCTCTACAAACACAGATTGACACAGTAAACAAAAGGTGAATCTTCATGTTTGATGTTTTCTCTGAGAAGTGAAAGTCTAATGATTCTCAGCTATCTGGTTATTGTTTTCAAACCACAAGCAGTGACGTAAGTTATCCTTCCATAGACGACCTGTTTCCAAAGACTTCACAGTCACAACTGCAGTCTGGTGGGTTTGATTCCTAAAGATGTGGACTCGTGGTGTTGCTTACCCAGCACTGTGTACGACTCCGCTGTGAACCGGTCTCTGCCGGGCCGGGCTGTCGGCGCTCTCTTTGGTGACATCAGAGCTGACCTGATGAGACAGAGACAGATGGTAGACGACACACACCCACAGCTCCAGACTTTTTGAGATTCACTCAGAATGACAGTAAGAACATGACCAAATGTCTTCAACATCAAAGCTCAAATTTAAAGATAGAGTCCTTCAAAATAAAATACAGACTTCTCCTCAAGTAAAGACAGAGTCAGCAGCTTGTCCCTTCAAAATAAAATCTAGACTTCTCCTAAAGTAAAGACAGAGTCAGCAGCTTGTTCCTTCAAAATAAAATCCAGACTTCTCCTAAAGTAAAGACAGATTCAGCAGCTTGTTCCTTCAAAATAAAAGACAGACTTCTCCTCAAGTAAAGACAGAGTCAGCAGCTTGTCCCTTCAAAATAAAAGACAGACTTCTCCTAAAGTAAAGACAGAGTCAGCAGCTTGTTCCTTCAAAATAAAAGACAGACTTCTCCTAAGGTAAAGACAGTCAGCAGCGTGTTCCTTCAAAATAAAAGACAGACTTCTCCTAAAGTGAAGACAGTCAGCAGCTTGTTCCTTCAAAATAAAAGACAGACTTCTCCTAAAGTAAAGACAGAGTCAGCAGCTTGTTCCTTCAAAATAAAAGACAGACTTCTCCTAAAGTAAAGCTGCTCCATCGTCTCTTCTGGGCCTCCATACATGTGTGGTGGTGACTGTGTCTGCAGAGACTCTGTCCTCTGACTGGATTTTACTGTTCTGCTTGTTCTGGTAGGAATGGAAACAATTCAGTGATTGGACGCCATTCAAACCGGTGAATATGACTGGGGCCCAACCGATATGAGATTTTCTGGGCCTATATGGATATTGGGGAGGGAAAAAATCTGATACCGATATATTGCCTGATATCTTTCTTACATCAATGTTTGATCTGTAGAGATAGATGGATATAGACACATTTATCACGTTGATCCCTCAGTTATGGTTACAAGATGGTCACTCAGCTGGAGAGTAACTGATGTGCATCACTGCTCCACACTCTGCAGAGTGATGATGTTTGTTATAATCCATATAGCGCCCTCTGCTGGTGACAGAGAACTGCTAGTGTCATACAATGAAACTCAAATTAGATGTTTGACTGGTGAATAAATCGAGTAATATCAGCGCAAATTTGCGATAAAATTAGCCGATACCGATAGTCACTGGATATGCTGGTATCGGCCTGGATGATTAATCGGTCGGGCTCTTAATGTTACGGACGTAGACGTAGCGTTAAAGAAGAGAAAATATAATCAGAGTGAGGAGAAACAACAAGTGGATAAAGCTCGTTCTAAAACGAGGGTGAACCTTGTGTTGTCTTTTACCCGTGGACGTGAAGCTCTACTTCCTGTTGGACAGGCAGGTGACAAACACCGGCCGTTAGCTTGTGCTAGCGAGTGTTAGCTTGCAGTATAGGTACAAGCAGTAAACGTACACTCATCCCCACTGCATGACGTAGTCTTCATGCAGTGGGGATGAGCTTCAGGGGGAGATGAGCCCAGGAGGAGGAGGACGAGGACGAGGAGGGGCTTTGAATGTTCACAAACTGTGACCAACGTTTCTATTGACTCCTCCTTTAAACTCTCTAAATCCAAACAAACCTGGCTGGAGAGTGCATTGGGGAGCTGGTTCGGTTCTTTTCCTTGCGGATGTCTTGTATCTTTCCTCCGCAGCTGTCCCACTCCACGCTCAAATCCTCCACCTTCAGGTTCTGGTGGGCCGAAGCCGAGTCCAGCTTGAAGTTGAAGGCTGAGAATTAAAAAAAAGAGTCAGGCGAGACTTTCCAGTGTCCAATGTCAAGAAATGTGAAATATTGGCAACAATAAAAGCCTATGAGCCAAGTATGAGGCTCGTATCCTTACCGTGTGTTTCTAGTGTAACCGGCTCAGAGAATTCTCCCGCCACCGCCTTGTTACACGCTCTCACTCGGAACGTCAAGTACCGGGTGTCAAAGCGCAGACCTGAGAATCACAGAAAAAATCCTGTCAGTCAGCGTCCTCAAAGTTCAGCATCAAACATCTCCTCAGGTTCCTCCTCCTCCTACCTGTGAGCGTGTGCTCCAGCTCTCGGATTCCCTCCACCACCATCCACGGGTAGTCCTCTCGGATGCGCGGCGGACCCTCGTGGTTTGTGCGTCGGTGCTCCAGGATGTAGTGGTCTATCTTGCTGTCCGGCTCCGGTAGGGTCCAGACGACAGACACTGTGTTGTCGAGCACCTGGCACTCTGAGACCTGGATCTCTGGAGTTGCTGGAACTGAAGACAAGAGACAGTTTGTCTGTCACACGGAGAATCCCAATATCCACTTCTTCTACCTTCCATTCAGCACAAAAACAGGAAGTGGTTCATATTTATTCTCTCATCATGAAGCTGAAGAACTTCGGGGTTATGTGGAATGCGGCGACCCCTTGTGGACAAAGCGGTTATTACCATAAACTCACCCTACATTCTCTAAACAGTCAAACACTCATCGGCAAGTCCTGCTGTGGGAAATGTAAAAAAAATATGCTTTTTAAAATGATTGCCCGACTGATATGGACATTTTGTGGGCCGATATCAGGGAAGAAAAAAAATCAGAAGCTGATGTCTTTCTTAGGTCTATCGTCCGTCTTCAGAGGTCGATTGATGGTGGAGATGAAATTAGCCTTTGCCTATAGTCACGAGAGCTTCTGATATCGGCAGATATTATCGGTCAGGCTCTGATTTCAATGTATAAAAAAGTTTCAAAACTTTTCGTCTAAGCATTTAAAAACTATAAGGAACAACATTTATCTAGTTGATCTAGATCTAGTTCCTTAAAGAAGCTTTAAAATAAAGTATAAAAAATAAGTGGTTCGTTTCTCCCTCTCTCCTCTCTCTCTCTGATATCTCTAAATAAAGGAATAAAACCTCCATAAATAAAAAAGGAAAAATAACTCTAGCCACTTGGGGGCACAGTCACACCAAATAGAGTGGGCAGGTAGCCTGCTTAGCATAAACGTGTGGCTAAAGCGTTAGCATCAAATTATACTATCACCACTTTATCAGGTTTATCATGTTGAATTATTAACAGCTAACCTCCATGTGTTATTTGTTGTGAGCAGGTGGCAGACAGAGGCTTCCTGAGAGAAGCCTTCTGGATGGAAACAGCCTTAAAGGAAGACGCGTGGGCTGTAAACCACACCGCTGCATTAAAGAGGTCAAGAAGCCTGCAGAGTCGGATGACTCATCACTGTGAGCGATCCCTTTCATGTCGCATTCACCATCAGATATGACACCAGCAAGAGGAGCCTAGTGAAGCCAATGCACTGGCTCGCTCGCTCGGCACGGCGCCTTCACTGGTGTTTAGGAAAGTTGAGTGTTGAGAGCGTACATAAGTTAAAGATTGACTGTCCTTACTTATAGTTCGTCTTTAAAACATTTAGCAGCATTCGTCGACCACACTTTTTTAACTCTAGTTCATATCGTCCATGTTAATAAAGAACTGGATCAAGTTACGCTGTAATCAAGATTAATCATGCTAATTTGTCCCTCACGGTACACCGTAGTTTAGCCTCCTCAGTGTCTCCCTTTAGTCACAATGATGTAAAAGGACAACCTGTGTGAGCATCTACTCTAGAGAGGAGGGAGCGGGGGGGAAGACAGCTCTCTACAATGTTTAGAATTTGGACTGCAGTACCCATTTTAAACGCTAGGGGTCAGAGCTACATACTGCTCCTTTAAGCTAACGTTCACTTTGATGCAGTATGCTCTTCAAGTATTTATTTTATTTCTGACTGATATCTGTGAGGAAGAATGTGTGACATGTTCCACATCAATAAATCATAAATCCAGTCTGTCCTGTGTAAATGTGTCTCTGAGTCATGACTGTCTACAATGAGGGAGAAGCTCAAGTCCCGCTGGCTGTGTTGTTGTCAGAGCTGTGTTTACATGGACGGGACGGCCGGCTCCTCCCCTTGTGTATAAAAGCTGTTTTAGTCAAGAACTAGAGAGAAGAAGAAGAACATTAGCATTAGCATGCTAACACAACAATGCAGGACACAGATGATTGCAGCTCGAGCCGAGGACAATTTTGTCCGCCGCTTGCACTAAACTCTGAGTGGAGGGGGGTTGGAGGTGTGTCTCTGGATGAGAGCGGAGGCTTCAGTATGGAGGAGGCGTGGCCTAACAGCAGTTTGTTTTGGTTTCATGATGGATCAAAAAGTCGCACAGGAGACACTGTCACTTATTTTGGCCTTACAACACTTCAATGTATATGTTGCGGGGGAGGGACCATGTTGGTTTTTACGGACCATAACCCACTGACATTTTTGCATTCTTTTAGATGTCCAAACCAGAGGCTGATGAGATGGTCCTTGTTTCTGAAAGCATACGACCTAGACATTAGCCATATAAGAGGACGGGACAATGTAATGGAGGACGTGTTATCGTGTTATCTATCCTCTTAATTTGCTCCTCAGGTACCGGGGGTTGCTGAGAATGGGTAGGGGGTGGAGGTGCAGGCCAGGAATCCAGGAAAAAGGTTGTGTATTAATCTAATTAAAAGTGTTTTTTTTTTTTGTGATTGAAAGTATTGTGAGTAAATGTGTAGATGTTTGGCACGGTGGTTGGTTATGGTGATGTTGTGCCGGTGGTCCCCTTGGCACACCGACTTTAAGGGGGGCTGTAACTAATTGATTCTGTCCCCCTAGTTCTTGAGGAGTTGGAGGGTCCAATCTAGAGCACCTGGGCCTGTTGCTTGCAGGGCATAAAAGCCCCACCCCAGGGTGGATTCTCTCTCTCTCTCTCGCCCAACTTTGACATTTGTTTGTTTGTGCTATGGTTGTGGGTGCGTTGTTCAAATAAATCATTGTTACATCAATTTAAGTTGTTCCTTCTCATGTTTGTCATGGCCATGGAGCCAGGTTATGACACTTCCTTTAAAGGGATATTGGTGAAACATTTTCATAAAGTAACTGGTAACTACAAAACGCGAAAGTGGAATAATTGTCTTTTATATGTGGAGGACTAGAAACGTGAGAGCAGGCTCTTCAGTTCAGAATAGTCGAGGTGAAAACGGAGACTACGCCCTCTGATGTGGTCTCTGTTTGCTGCTCTTTTGTTTCTGTCTGTATTTCTTTGTGTTAAAAAGTGGAGCAGACCTGGGAGAAACTTGAGGCCTTGTAACATCCCCCTCTCATGGCTGAAGTCCACCATCAGGTGACTCATGTTGTCGCTGGCTTTAGCCTTCAGGGAGAGGCGAAAGGCTGGAGCCATCGTCACACTGTGGACACACACACACACACACACACACACACACACACACACACACACACACACACACACACACACACACACACACACACACACACACACACACACACACACACACACACACACACACACACACACACACACACACACACACACACACACACACACACACACACACACACACACACACACACACACACACACACAAGCATTATTCAACCAGCTCGGAGGAGACGACAAGTGATTCTAACACTGATCACTAAGAGAGGCGAGTAACTACACTTCTGCTTCTACCCCTGAACGCATCACCCTGAACCAGATTTAAAGCTAGAGAGGGAGCAGCAGTCATGGAGGGAGGGGCTGGCACAACATGGCACAGACTGGAGAGGACAGAGGGACACACAAAGACATTTCCATGGTGCTTATTGTCTACTGAGTGGGTGCGGTGGCTACACATTTGAATGCATGCACATTATGACGTCAGAGGGAGTCTATGACACAAAGAGAGCAATGGATGGCTGAGTACGATACCTATCCTTAATGTCTTTGGCCGCCTGGTGGAGAAGCAGAGAGGGCGTGGAAAAGGAGAAAAGGAGAGAGGAGAGATACGGAGCGAAGAGAAAAACTGAGTTGTAGCCCATCATGTAGTCATTGAATATAAACACATGCTGCTGGCCGTGTTAAAGTCACTGGTAGTAAAGACACCACAAGGAGAATAGATGACATCATCAATCACTCATCGGTCATTGTAAACGAGGTTATTAAAGGATGAGGCAGCAAGTCATCAGAAGGGGAGTCAGGTGGTTTACCTGAGTGAAACCATCCGCCTCCGAGGAGCACAGCGTCTGATTGGCCAGCTCCAGCAGCTCCTCTGAACTCTCCAGGGCTTTGGAACAGGCGCTCAGCTGACTCTGAGAAAAAAAGAAAAAGAGAATCATCCCCGGTCAGACGGAGTACATCGTCTAACCCAGCACACGTCTGATATATAATAGCAGCACTATGTTCTCTGCAAGAGGCATCATTTGAGAGTCACGGCTCGGTCCTGAGGCTGGAGAGGGTTCTGATGCATGAACCAGGACAGAGACAGAGACCTTTAAGAAGTACACAAGAGGTGATGCTTTGAGCTAGGGGAGAATAAATACACCCGAGTTCAGGGCGTGTGAACTGGAATAATCACCAGGAAGCAATGTCAGGTATCAGGTTTTAGAGACAAACAAAAAGGCTTTTATTTTGAAGGTTTGTCCTGTCTTAAGCTAAGAGTACTTTACTTTCTGTGTGCTTTTATTTTGAAATAAAGTAAGGCTCTTCCTGTGGAGTGAAGGTTAGGACATGAAGTGAAGCACAGAAACAGTAAGTGGTTAGGGATCCCATGTGATGTCATAAGGTCAGTGTGTGATGTCATAAGGTGGATATTACTTTGGACTCGTCAGCTGAGCTGTCTGAGAGTTTGTTAAAGTGAAATGAGACATTCAAAGATGCAGCAGTGTTCTTCTTTTACATCACTGAGACTACAGGGAGACACTGAGGACGATTATCTACGGTGCACATTAGAGCCAGTTTTTCGTTTCAAAGTAAAAGTCATCATCCATTCAGTGATCATCATGTCACAGAACACCTCCCGTTCAGCTTCACTGTAGCTGATAAACAAAAGTGATCCTCAAGTTTGAAGGAACGCACATACCTGCAGCTCGTAGGTGCGGCTGGCTTTCTCCTGTTTGATCCGCGTCACCATGCTCTCCTTCATCTCGTCCAGGACGGCGTGGAGGGAGGTGAACTCAGACTCCATGTCCTCCTGAACTCTGTTGGAGTTCGCCTGATGTCACACACAAATCACAAATGAGTAAGTCTAAAAGAGGAAACCAGTCCAGCTGAAAATACACTCTCAAACTGTGTGTGTGTGTGTGTGTTCACTGTGTGTTCACTGTGTGTGTGTGTGTGTGTGTGTGTGTGTGTGTGTGTACCTCTAAGTTGTCCAGGTTCTGCTTGAGAGTGCAGACGAAGTTGGAGATCTCCTCGTTCTTCATGGCCAGCGTGTGGGTGATTTTACGCAGAGATTCCTAAAAAGAAAACAAAAAGAGTGCGTCAGTATTCACTCGTCAGCCTGATCAACTTGGTGTTTTGAGTGTCTCGCCCAAGACACATCTGACACCTGGCTGCAGGAGCTGGGGATCGGTTAGGGGACTCTCCCGCTGAGCCACAGCAGCCCAGTGGCCTCAGAGACTGAACAGAGGGGATACCTAAGTGCAGGTATAATCAGTATAATCAGTGTTTGTTCCTGTGGGGGCTTCGAGGAAACCTCTTGAACACGATGAAACACGGGATCAGAGAGGATCAGAGAGAGGGAGGACAGTTCACGGGCGGAAGGATGCGCATTTCTAATTGAATCATGCAGCAAGCAGCGAGCAGCCGACTCAAAGGAGACCGGACATCCACCGAATCTCACCTCTAATATGTCGGTTACATTTCTATAGTGAATACCCCCCCGCCCCTCCTCCCACCCCCCACTCCCACTGAAGAAGGTCTGTGTAATGTTTGTTGATGCGAGAGGAGCTGCACCACCAAGGCCCCCGCCGTCCCAGGACTACAACACCCGGATGCATCGAAGAAGAAGCCGGCGGAGGGAAAACCTCACAATCAAACACCGACTCACCGATTCAAACGTGAACACTTAAACACAACACACCGAGTCCGTGCCGCATCCACAAACTCCCCACTTCTGCAGATCGTTCCCCCTCCTTCCTTTGTAGGCTATACTACGCCCTGAAACGGCTCCCCCCCCCCCCCATCATCAGAGACACCTGTTCCCCCGACTCCGGCTCACCTTCTGGTCCCCCATGTCTCCGCTCCGGTGCTCCCTCCGCCGGTTTGTCTCCTCCGTCCCCCGCTTTGTCGCTTTATTTAGCGCGGAGCAGCTGGTACTGATGCTGCCGGAGTGCAACGCATCCTCGTACCACCAACGCCTTTGGGCCGTGGTGCGTACTGCGCATGTGCCAGAGGAGAATTCTGGGTACTGAAGTTTTTTGTTTAGTTGCGTTCAGGAACGGGAGAAAGAATCAGACGAGTATATTTCAAGAGGGGATACGAACGTGTTGTGCTTCAGACTGGGTTCATTTAGCTTCTCTTCTTCTTCTGAAGAGCTTTTTAAGAACTCAAAGACGCTGTACATGAGTAAAAATAGAAAAAAAACATAATAGTAAGACAACTAACAATAAGATATAAACTACCATTAAAAGCATACACAGCACAATCACACATTCAAGACTTTGTACTACCGCATTAAGGCTTCTGGAAAGTCCGTTTTTGTGTGAACCCTCAAAAGTCTACTCATCTTTTCTTACATAATCAATCAATCAAAACTTTATCAAAGACTCAGGGTCCAGACAAGACTAAACAGAAGACATAAAAAACAAAGCACAGTTTAAAACATAAAGACAAACTTTATAGATCCCCCATGGGGGAATTTTTTTTTGTCACAACAGCTCAAGAAACAGGAAACAGGAATATAATTATCAAAAATAACAAGAAGTTAAAAATCAAACACATGTACATCAGTTAAATAAAGGGAGAAAAAATACATTAATAGAATAATAAAAAAGGGTTTCAACCATAGACTGTAAAAATAAACAGGTTGAAACAACACAGCTTGAAAAAGGCTTCAAACAACCATTATGTGCAATCCAATACTTTTCAGGGTTAGAGTCTAACTTTCAGTCAACCTAACGACAGGCTGAGAGCTGGAGCCGAGGCGTGTTTTAAACCTCCTGACAAACTGTTACACTGCGTCCACCTGTCAATCAGGTCAGCTACACGCCTTATTGTGAATAACTCTTATCCTTCATCAAATCAAAACTGATGAGTCATCAAAACATTCACCCCCCGTACAGTGTGTCCATCGACACATGAGCTAATCACACCTATTTGTTTTTTTGAACCAGGCTGTAAACATGTTAATCTCTGCTGTAAAAACAGGCTTTTTAGAATGGGTGTGTATGTGACTTCCTGTGCTTCTGCAGCCAGCCTCGAGTGGACACTCCAGGAACTGCAGGATTTTTACACTTCAGAATCAGCTTCATTTTTCAACACCGGAGATTGCTGATTGGACGGGCCTTTGATTTTTTTCCAAACAAAACTTGTGCACATCAAAGACAAGAGAGAATATACAATTACAAATTAAGGCCAGAAAGAAAATTAAAGTTTTTTACAAAATTGTCTTTTCATTTTCGACACGGGAGGTTGCCTCTTGGTAGATAGATTTCTTTCTAACATTTCTCCCATAGTAGATGTTAATATGACAGAATACATTCCTGACTTAAAATCTTTCTGAAAAATAAAATCATACTGTCTCAAAATGAACGCTGGCTACACACTTATTCCTGTGGGTTTTTCAAAATAAAGGACCTATTTCTTTCTTTTCACGTGGCCACATACAACTGGAGAGAAACACTATTATGTTGTATGAGTTTATTCTAAAAAGTTAATATGAATGTTGGGGAGAACATTTAACACGTTTAATGTTAAGAGTTTGGAGATTTTCCCTTCATGACATCACAAAGGGCAGTAACCCCTCCTTCCCAGCCACCGTACTTTCTACTACCACAACGTTGTCATCCCCACAGCCACCGCCAGCCATGCTTTATCCACTTGGTGTTTCTCCTCACTCTGATTATATTTTTTCTTCTTTGCTGCTACGTCCACATCTGTCATATTCACCGGTTTGAATCTCGTCCAATCACTGAATTGTATCCACTCCTAAACTCACCTGCTGCGCTCTCATTGGCTGGAGGAAACACACTAGCTCCCCCCAGAAACGTGCTGAGTCAACCAGAACAAATCAGAACAGTAAAATCCAGTCAGAGGACAGAGTCTCTGCAGACACAGTCACCACCACACATGTATGGAGGCCCAGAAGAGACAATGGAGCAGCTTCACTTTAGGAGAAGTCTGTCTTTTATTTTGAAGGAACAAGCTGCTGACTCTGTCTTTACTTTAGGAGAAGTCTGTATTTTATTTTGAAGGGACAAGCTGCTGACTCTGTCCTTTTAGGATTATTTTTTTTTGGGGGGGGGTGTGTTTTTACTTTTTAACTCTGCTTTAAGTCGAGTACATTTATCTCGTGCAAAATCATAACAAATGTTTTCCCCCGGCCAGGTATAGACGGGGTACTTTATAACATAATTTATTTCGTGGTGAGAGACACAGTCAGAACTCTGGGGCAGAACTGAGGTTGGGTTTGAGGCCCACCTGCCGTGTTAAATAGATGTGAGTAAAAGACAATTATATTACATCTCTAATGGCAGTTTGGTCACCTGAGAAATATCTATGGCATAGGTACAAACATGTACAAACATTAAGAGCCTATCCGCCCGCCATAGTATCAAGCAGATTGTGGTCGCAGATGTAATCAGAAAGTTCTTCATACTCAGTTGTGTCTTGACACAGGAAGCCAAACGCTGCCATAGCGAAACGCTCGGGTGACAAGGTGAAGTGCGTTTTAGCACCCCTGCACCAAAAAACCACAAGGGTTTCAGAAACCTGTTAGCCTTTAATCCTTCTGTGATACAAGATAAAGAAGTGTGTCTTCAGCAGGATGTACCCCTGTTAGAGATGGTGTTTGTCTCCTGATCAAAGACAATAAAACAAACGTGTGAAACAGTCGGTCCAAATTGTCTTTTGGCTTTTTAAAAAAAAAAAAGCCTACACACATTTTCCATCATACTTTGTTGTATAAAACTTCCACAACCCAACAAAGGCAACATATTCTCACAGAACAGCAACACAGAAAAAAAACAACCTTTCTCCTCCTCCCACACACACACACACACACACACACACACACACACGCAGCCAGAGAGACAGGATGAGTCTCAGACCTAGACCACCTCTCACATGATAGCATGACAATGTGGCTGAAAGAAGTGACTTTGCTCTTCCTGACAGGTAAGACTTCACATTCAACTTTTAAGTTTTTTTATTTCCTGGCTTACAAAACTTTTAAACTTTCAAAGTAAAAAGCAGAATTTTGCCACATTTCTTTGTCTGTAGCAGCAATGATGCTGGTGACGGGTCAGGAACCTGTGATTTTGGATCAAACCCAGAGAAGTGTTCCTCTGTCCTCTGGCTCGTCCCTGACTCTGATCTGCGGTTTGAATACAACAGAACACGACAGGTATCGTGTGCACTTCTACTTTTACTCCTCTGGGTCATCCTTCACTGACTTCAACAGAAAGAACCTGTCCCAGAACCTGTTTATTAGACCTTCATCTACCTCCGTGGTGGAGCAGGGCCTGGAGAACAAAGGCCTGCAAACTGAAGACACAGTGTTGAAATACACTTTATCGAATGCCACAGAGGCAAACAGTGGATGGTACTTTTGTACAGTCAGAGGAGAGATCCCCTATGACGAGAGCAAGAGCAGCAACGGCACTCAAATCCTTATTGGTGAGTGTTACCTTCAATTCATAAATCCAGTCATGCTGAACTGTAGCTACCTCCGTTTTTTCTCAACTGTTTTGGCTCAATTTTCAAAAACCTTTTTTTTCAAACTGTCAGCACCAAAGAGTAATTTTTCAAAACCCAGCAGAGGAAAGAGAGGAACTTCCTTTGAGCTGCAGCAGATAGACGGACAGACATCTGCAGTGACATGACGAGGGTCGAGATAAAGAGACGAGACAGGAAGAGAATTACACAACAAAACATACATGTAATAATATGTCACTTCATAAACCAGGGGTTCCCAAAGTGGTGGTCGGGACACCCTGGGGGGGTCGCAAGATGCCTTCCAAAAACATTTAAAAATGTGAAATGATTTAAAAATGTATAGTATATATAGGCGGACACTGAGCAGCTTTATTCCACGTCATCACTGAGATTAGAAATGAAACTTTCTAAAAAAACAAATAACTTCAATTCTTAGTTTGGTTTTAATCCCCCGGTTACGGCCACAACCTTCCAGGTGTTACGGCCTAAGTGAGGGACACGCAATGATGATTTTCTGTGATATTTATGGTCTGGTCAATCTGGTCACAGGTCTGGTCTTGATCCCCTAAATGTCTTGGTGTAGTCTTGGTCTCGTCCTGCCTTGGTCTTGGTCTTGGTCTTGACTCAGTCTCATTCCCTAAATGGCTTAATCTTGGTCTTGTATGGCTTAATCTTGGTCTTGTAATCTGGTCACAGGTCTGGTCTTCAGTGAGATTTATGTTGAAGTGTTGAAAATCCTTCAAATGTAAGTTAGCACATGAAGGCATTGATGTGGTTGTTTGTTGCTCTTAGTAAATAAATCACTGGAATCATATTAGTTTCTGCTGCGACGGTCTTTTGTCTGTTTTGTGCGTGTGGCTGCGAGCGACGGTAAATGCTTTAACCACTTCCAGGGGCGGTGGGGGTCTGCAGCCCCTAGCACCGTTACTTTAGGACTAGCGGGCTGTAACATTTGGAACCCCTGATTATAAACTACACTTACATTAATCGGTAACACTGGACATTCTCAAGTTTATTTATACCGCACACATTTCAGCAACGTGGTGTTTCAAAGAGCTTCACACACGCCGTCAGAAACATGAAAACAAACAGAGAAGATACTCGGAAGAATACGTTAAATTCTGAATGTAGTGATCTTATCTTGCTAACGGACTCAGATTCACCTGCTGGTCTCCACTAATCTAAATGGACTCTGTTGAACAATCCACCTCAGAGTGTCTTCCTGAGGATCCAGGCTCACAGTTTGCTCCGTCTGAAACCCCACCTGGGTGTGATGCGATGGTGAAACCCCCGCACGATCGTTACAGTTCATCTCATGTTCGCTGACGTCTGTTCAGCAATTAATTAATCAATTCAGCACACATAACAGCCGCTCTTTATCAAGGCAAACCCCATGATGTCTATAACCCCTCTATTTCAGCCCTGCTCAGAACAGGCTTTTTCTGTGTCTGTACCTTTAAATATGTAAATGAGCTGTGTCTGACCACACCCCCTCT